AGTAAATTCTGCAATATCTGCCTTATTCTAAATATTTATGCTTCTGTGGATAATGTTCACAGTATGATTAGCATAAGACACTTGTATCTTTTCATCCTATTGAGTTGATCAGAGATAACTCAGTTTCTCCAAGAAGCTAGTGAATTATCTTAATAAAATTCTGCAGGCTCTGTGTATTCTAATCAGTCACATACTGTTTTAACTTTCATGCTGCTCCCTAGAGAAATATAAAAACTTCATGGAAAAAAAAGCATAAAAGTTACTCATATGGAAGGGAGAAGCAAAGGAACAAAGCAAGTAGCAGTCCCAGACTGAAAGGAGAATTACATTATTACATAAACCTCAAGCTTTCACAGCAAGCAGATGGCCAGGAGTTCAGTGTGATATGTAGAAACAAAAAGATGCTTCTATTAGCAGTTGGGGAGGGTATTCAAGTTCCCACACATACAAACACAAGATACACTTCAAACCTGAGTGACAAGACACCATACATAAACATTTGCAGCTTAACAGAAAAGGATCCAGACTTTCCATTGAATTCTTACCACTGGAAATGGTTTGAACCACATCTGGCCTAAGTATGGCTAGTAAAATTCTGGTAACTCAGTTCCAAAATGTTTTCTTCTGTTAAGGTTAGCTTCTCATTAAAGAAACACATGTTTCAATGTGGCATAATATAGAAGAGATTTCTCTTTTTAGAAAATTTCAAAATGGAACATTTTGGTTTTGCTAAGTTCTCTAAGCTTTGCAAATAAGTTTTTCTTATTCTAGATTTAAAGAACTTGCAATTATGGGGATACATTCAACTTTCAGATGAATTTGTCTGGACTGTAAGCTGCTGAAATGCAAAATTCATTTTTATACTTTGCTATTAAAAGGTATGTTTAATATGAGTGTTAGAGAAACAGTAATTGAATTATCTTTGCAAGTTTTCTAGCATAGAAAATAAAAGCACTGGCGAGTAAAAGAAAGTTAATTTTGTTTGATTAATAATCAAGCTATCCTTCTCAATTTCTAGCAGTTGCTTTTGATCTGACTGGCTAGTTCCAACCAAACCTGGCAGAAAAAAAAATACGTTTTGGTCACAGCTCTGTGCAGGAAAAGGGAAAACGGGACATTCCTACATAGTGCCCCATGGAGGCAGAAGCTTCAGTGACTGTTCAGTCATCACTATGGCTGCCTGGTCACCTGTCAATAGACCATAAGTGATCCAAACCCTGTGCTGCCTCTTGCTCTGGCATCATGTATAACGCCTAGGATGAAAGCAGGCTTACCGCTAAGTTACACGGAAAAAAAAAAATCAAAAAAGAAGACCAGGTATTATACTTCACTTTTTGAGAAACAGCTTATGCTTTACTAATATGTATACACAACAACAACAACAACAACAACAACAACGCTTTGTTTTTCTTTGTACTTTACAAACAAAACAAAACAAACACCAAAACCCAAAAACATTAAGTCAAGCAAAAAATGAAAATCACACACCACTTTCACTTGGCTTCATTCACTGGCTAAGATGGTACCATTCAATTAATATGTTTGATATTTTTTTTCATCTCAAAAGATGGATTTAGGTTTAATTTACTACAACTTACTTAAATTTTACACTGAGGATGGCAATTGCTACTTTCCAATGAGCATCTGTATCTTGCTCCTGGACTCAGTACAAGTGCTTTCTCACTAGTAATGACTCTGTTCTCACAGTATCCTCTCAATAAACAGCTCTGTTATTCCATTTTACAAACTGAAAATAGAGGTGCAGAGAGATTACTAAACAATGACCATCAGTTTTGATGCAATTAAAGTCAACTTTTTTCCAAATGTTGCAGACCAGACAGAGCTACTTGGGTTTGAAACAGCTCCCCTGAGTTGGTAAAAACTATGAGTGCTAGTCACTTTTGCAGGTCAAATTCTGTAACCTCACATCATGAAATATGATATCTGTATGACATGAAACATACATAATCATAAACAGATTTTATAACACCAACAGAAAGAACAGCACTGAAATCCTTTGAACTCCAGCACAGTAGAGTAGCACAGGGTTTCCCCAAATTTAACTCTGCTTGAACCCACTTTCTTTTAAAGAAATGCAGGAGGGGAAATGCCCACGAAAAAATACTCAGTGATAAGCAGCTATTTATGTGTAGTAATGCATTCCAATGATTAATTAGTCCAGTAAGAACACACCCATTATTTGAAGTCTGAACTTGCTTAATTCACCTTCCAACCACAGAACTGTGGTACACCTGTGTCAGCTGAAGAGAAGCTTTTATCAAATACCTCTTTGCCAAGTAGGTGCACACTGACTAATGAAGAAGCCCTTAACATTTCCTTAGCTAAGCTAAACAAAGTAAGCACCTTATGTCTTCATTCCCCCAGCCATTTTCAAGACTCTTCTCTGGAAGCTGATTTTTCACCATCCTTCCTGGACTGTCAGCACCAGATGTACTGCTCCAGTAACAGTTATAGCTGATACCTCCTAATTGTCAATTCCCCTGCTCAACTACTCAAAATTTTTTACCAGACCTTTAGCTACAGCCAAAAGGATTGACTTCAAGTTCAAATCCAAATCCTATCATTCATCAACTCCAAACTTGTTGCCCAACTTAGTATTTAGTTGCACTGATTCTGCTATGAAGTTATTTGTCCCATTTATTAATTATCTAAATCACTTTGCGACCTTACTAATGTTCTTAGTCCCAAATTTATGATTTTCTAGGTAGGTAAAAACATCTGAAATAATTCCAACACAGTTATTTACAATGAGAACCTCGGAGACTCTGTTGCAATGTATGCAACAGCAGACTGATTTGTAGTATGCACCAACATCTGCAGATGCATAAGAGTCTGACACTGGATTTTGCACGTTAGTCATACACAGCCTTACTTAGGGATCCACGTTCGCAAGGTCCTCCTAGAATTCTCAACTAATAGGACTTAGATTTTATTTTGTTAACATAAAATTTAGCAAATCTTTAAAATACTCCAGAACCAACCAACAAGCAATGTTTATTAAAGATGATGATAAATGAAAATAGAGTTGGGTTTTCATTGAATAAATTGATAAATCTAATCAACAGGTACTTTAAAAATATACAAGCTTTCCATCTGTGTATTTACATGTCATTATACAGCTCTATAAAGATTTTATTTAAAAGGCAAGACCTTTCAGGGACCAGTTCAAAAAGATGAAGGCTGTGACCACAGCACAAGTTCTCGCCCAAAATTCCAGAACTCCTTACCAAAGTGTTCACAGTCAAAAATAGTAACAGACCAGCACATCAGGTACTGCAGACGTCTTAAAGCAAACATATCAGCTTTAACATAATGGAAGCCTTTAGATGTTAAAGGTTTATTTTCTTCTTACATGGGGAAAATTAGGATCACAGTCTTAGGCTACTCCATACTGTCCAGTTTTAAGACTTTTGTGCATATCAACGCCGTCACTCTGACTAAGCAGGACAGCAGCCTGAACTGTCAGACATTCAAAGCCAGCTCACTTTTACCATTTCAGTGAAGGTGGAGGAAGGGGCAGGGGCTGTCTAAAGGAGATGAAAATACAGAAATAGAGAAAAAATAGTATATTCTCATAAAATTTCTCCCCTTTTTCAAAGCGCTGCTTAATATTTTCTCAAAACATCAGAAGGCACATACTTACACACAATTTCTTCCTGGCTTTTTAAAGCACTGACTAGGAAGCTATCTTTTGTTCCTGAACCTTAAAGGCACTTACACAGGGTTTAATCTTCTCCATCAAAAGTCTTTAGAAATCACATGGCAGAAGGAAATCTATTTCTCTTAAATTACATCAGCCAGTTCCACACCTCCTATTACCGGTGTCATAGTTTCTGTGACCTCAGGAGTGTCAGAGTGAAAAGGCCCTACCAGTCTTATTCACATTCTTACCTCAGTTTCTCTCTTACACTGGAGTGATGAGTAGGTTACCCATACCAGGAAATACTTTCAAGAGTTGAGTTTCAATGGCATCCTTTGATATGATCCTTCATGCATGAACACACACACAAGAACATTTATACAGTCTAAAGCACTTTTCAATCAGTTCTACCCAGTCCCTGCCCCCTGGGTGTCCACGTCTTCCTTTTTATTTTATGGGCAAATCCACAAACAAGGATTTCCTGAGCTGTTATCCTCCTTTCTGCATAAATTAGCACACATTATCAGCCACAAAAGGAATTTAAGGTGTTCCAGAGTATTAGGCCTTTTGAGATTCTATTAACTTGAGTAAAGGGGACAGACACAAAAAAAGATCTTCAACTAGCCAGGGTATGGACTAGTTAGAGTGACATTGCAATAGAAGGGAACCATCAGGGTTAAACAATATTTAATGGCAACAAAATAAAATATAATATTCAAGAAAAACAAACAAACAAAAAACAAAGCACTGAAACAGCTGGAGAATCTTGTCCCTTATTTGAAGTCCTAAATGTAAAAAACCAAACAACAAAACCCCACACACAAAAAACCAAGAAGCAAAACAGTTACTGTTCTTCCATTTCCCAACTATTTTTCAACTGGTACCTGTCAGAGACTGAAATGGTTAATGATTTATGCATTCTAGGATTGCCAGGAGACTTTTGCAGGCTTTTGGAGGACTTTTGCATTATACCTATGATTCATTTTCCCTTAAGGTTATCTTTAGGCCATATTGCTATAAGTGATAGGTATAGATGATAACACCCAAAATGCTAACGTACCTGTTTACCTTTGAAACAAAATTGTTCTAAAATAAACCCTACATATATGTCTTCAAACACGGATTTTCAGTGTCGTTTCACTCTAATCCACCCCAAGGGATTTATTAATAAGAACCTGGGTAACCCCCCCACTTTTCTGGGGCAGGTTGTAACAGTACCTGCTTGAAGATTTCTGCTAGAATAATTTTCTGGTTTTCATCTTCCTGTCATTTTCATTCTTTTCCAATTTTATGACTTCATAGTCTAAGGTAAAAACTTAAGCAAGGAGGAAGAACTTACTGGTATTGAGAACTCCTCTGCCAAATACTTCAACACTGATGCTCCTTTAGTCAAAAAGTTACTTCTCTCTGCCAGATTGCCTTGAAGTTTTGTGTCAAACTCCTTTCTGACAACTGAAGCAACAGAGTCAATTATTATGAGTTTAACTTTCTTTGAAATAATTTCTTCTTCCAAAGACATAATCCTAAAAAAAGAAAAAAAGAAAAAAAGAAAGTCACTGATAGCATTACTTACACAATAGAACCATTTTATAACTCTGAAATTGTTTAAATAAAAGGATTCCTCCAATAAGTTGAAAGGCAGCCCTTCTTTTTCCCTCGTCACACACCACCTCCATTAACATCTACATGTATTGAAGAGATTTGGAAAGGAATGTGAGGCTCACTGGTCCACATAACTCAAGGCAGAATCTCTCCAAAAGAGAGGATTTGGAAGAATCTCTAGTTAGCAAGACTATGCTGTACCACCCCCAAATGGCAGATGGCAAGTAAAGTGGACATGGAAACTGTGCTTTTTAGCTCACAGTAGATGCATCCCATGGTCCACTCCAGATTCCTTGGTGTCTATGTATGCAGAAGGTCAAATACATTTCCGCATAGCTCCAAACCTAATTTGTTAATAAGGATGGATGCCATCCTGAGGGACCTGCACAAACTTGAGAAGTGGGCCTGTGAGAACCTAACGAAGTTAAACAAGTCCAAGTGCAAGGAGCTGCACCTGCATCAGGGTGGTCCCAGAGACGAGTACAGACTGGAAGAAAGTGTAATTGAGAGCAGCTCTGCAGAGGACTTGGAGGTCTGCGGACAAAAAGCTGGGCATGAGCCGGCAGTGCGCGCTTGCAGCACAGAAAGCCAACCATATCCTGGGTTGCAGCGAGAGGTGTGGCCAGCAGGTCAAGGAAGGTGATTCTCCCCCTCTACTCTGCTCTCATGAGACCCCACCTAGAGTACTGCATTCAGTTCTGCGGTCCTCACAAGAAAGACATGGACCAGAGAAAGTCCTCAGGAGAAGGGCTACAGTGATGAGCACATCTCCTACAAAGACATCCTGAGAGAGCTGGGGCTTCTTCAGCCTGGAGAGAAAGTGACTCCACGGAGACCTCATTGCAGCCTTCCAGTACTTTAAGGGAGCTTATTTATAAGAGGCAGAGCGACTTTTTACATGAGCAGGTAGTGATAGGACAAGGGGAAATGATTTTAAACTAAAAGAAGAGAGATCTAGATTAGTTATTAGGAAGAAATTCTTTACTCAGAGGGTAGTGAGGCACTGGCACAGCTTGCCCAGAAAAGTTGTGGATGGCCCATGTCTGGAAGTGTTCAAGGCCAGGCTGGACGAGACCCTGAGCAACCTGATCTAGTGGGTGGTGTTCCTTTGTAGGGGGTTGTAACTAGATGATCTTTAAGGTACCTTTCAACCCAATACATTCCATGTTTCTACAATATGCTACTAGCTGTTCTCTGATAAAGCTGCATTAGAAGATAAAAGTATCCTTAGAATAATTCTCTCACTAACATAAAACACATAGTATGATGCTAAAATATAACTTAATTAATTTTCATTGCAAAATATATTCACAAATTAACATAAGGTAACAGCATGACAATACAACACTGCCAACAAGATTCATGCTGATGACTCTTAAACAATTCCTTCCTCCCACTGCTGGAAGGGTTCCTGTCTTCCTGGAAGGAAACTGTGCTTTGGAGGAACAAGATCCTCTTCGATGGACAGTACAATTCTTATACTATGGTCCCTCCACAATCCAAGAGACAACCTGTCTCATGAACATCCCCTTTAAAGGCTTACAGGGATCAGATGACATAGAAATTGTCTACGAGAAATTTAAAAACATCAACCAGATTAGTCACATGCTATGAAATGAAAAGAGCAATGTCAATCTTTCTGCAGTGCTACTTTGCTGGAGACCATGCTGTTATCCACATGAAAAGGTCTCAAATAAATTAATTACTCTTCATAAAACTTTGATATAAAACAAATATTATAATAGACAATCAAGTCAAAGTGGTGTTGTATTTTTATTTTAAACTCTGGAAAAGAATACCTCTGTAATACACTGCAACAGGTCAGTTCTCGATAGAGGTGAATGCTACGGGTCATGCAGAACACCTTTTCATCTGAGTCAAAATAAGTAGGGAACCTGTTTCCTGCTATCTCAATCAACCTATTAAAAAAAAAAAAAAAAAAGCAAAACCAGAAGGTATATCACAGCAAAAAGAATAATGTAGGATAATAAGTCATCAAATATTCATGAAGCAAACACAGCAAACCTCTGAACCATAAGAAGATACCAAGTAATACTGGAAAGCTTTTAAAAAGGAAAAGCATACTTTATCAGTCAGATTGAAATACTGGAAGTCAGAACAGTTAGGTTCTCTTCTCAGTGATGCTCAGTCAATGGTACACAAGGGAAAGACATAATGTGTCTGTAAACAAAGAAAGAGAATATCTCCTCTAGAAGGAAACTGCAAAGTTTTTACTCAATGCGAAGTTCTTCAAATTTTATACAAGAGGTTCCAGGCAATGATCAAACATTCTCCTATTCTAATTATTGTATCTAAATACTATTTTCATTTAAACAATAGTAGTCTCCAACTCAAACCATCTTCCCTTTCACCTTTATCTTGTGGTGAAATCATAAGGTGTCACCACAGAAGTTTAACAAGCTGATAAGAAACAGAAGATCCAGCCAACATAGAAGCAGGACTGCAAAGAACAGAGCCCAGTTCGACTTCAAGTACTTATGCAAGCAGTACATATATGGAAAGTTTATCTGACAAAGTAAAAATCTTTTCACAGATAATCTCTCCTTAAAAACACAAATAAGGTCATTTGGATGGGTGACTGTTTCTGTTTTACCAGTTACCTATTTGTAAAAATGGCTTATAAAATGTTACGAAATCCACTTTTTAGAACATTGTGAAAAAACCAGAAACCAAACAGCATTGTGTCACAAAGTGACTGAGGCTCCAGCTGCCCAGCAACTACAACTGAACATCTATCCATTCAGATATCACAGGTACAAATGGCATGACTTGATACAACAAAATTACTAGAGCATTTAAGTGTCTGCTTTACTGATAGAACTGAATGTGGAATTCCATGATTAAATTTTCTCCATTACCTTATTAGCAAATTCATAAGCCTTCAAAACCTTGAATTACAGTTGCTAAGCATACCACTGTTTATTATCAGAGTAGACTAAAGAAGCATATCAGATAACTGGTGATAACACTGAAAGAAGTTAGAGGAAGTTGAATTTTTTTTGTTTATTTGTTGTCAAAATACTTTCATATTCAGAAATTATGACTTGAAAAAATCTCATAGATGTAAAACTAAACAATTTGCAGTTAAATTGTATTTTATACACAAAATCATTGAGGAAACTAAATGGTATGCATTCTAGAAATGCTGACTGCCTACAAACCCTACGAAGCCATTGGAAGGAAGTTCCACTCCTCTGAACACAAGGCAATTTTATCTAGGTCCTTAAAGAGATGATCCAAGAATTTAACTTTGAAAATCACAGTTATAATCTGCACACTGAAATTTTTTTCCATAATGAAAGTTTTATTTTTTAATAACAGAAAATTCTTAATTGTTTGTATTTTAAGCAGACATATCCCACTACCTATAGATTGAGTGGCTTCTAGTGGATTATACTTGTGGGCACAACTTACTGTTATTATCTCAATGCTTTTGATTTAGACCCCTTTCATTAAAATATGTAATGTTAAAGCTATTTTAGGGAAAAAAAATTAAAATCCATTTTATTTGGTTTAAAAATAGAAGCACTAAGCTTGAGTGTTAAGATACCTACCCCGAGCAAACAATTTCATTTTAATAGCCTGATTCTCATTCATTAAATACATTACTTATTACACATAAACTTGTCCTGCAGAACTTCCAGAGACAGAATTTTGTCTGCCCACCTGCACAATTAATCATGCAGATCATTTGGGCAACAGCGAGCCGCCATTCAACAGTCTGCAGGAAATGAGATTTCACTGTGCTTTCTAACGAGCATGCACATCACAAAGAACATTGTTATACTGAACAACATAAAGCGATACACGAAAATCTTGCCAAGATTGCAGCACTACTCTTCAGAGTTCCATGTGGGTTCAAAGTTCTTTAATATCTAAATCCTGTTTGTCATGATGAGACCAAAATCTCCACAGAACATGTTTTCTGCAATCAGGGCAGATCCATTATGTATCCAGATAATCTGTTCTCAGCTTTGGTTCACAGAAATTTGTACCTAGTGTTTTTCACAAGCAATAAGTATGACTAGCAAAAAAAGCCAACCTAACAAATTCTTTTCAGACTTTCTGAGTACGTCTGGTATGTTTTCAGTTAATAGCTGGCTACTACAAAACTGATGACAACAATTTTGATTTCCAGACTTACTACAGCCCTTTCATCTACCTGTCCTACTGTCCACGTTCTGACAAAGAGGAATGACAAGACACCATCTGCACTGTTACAGTTGTCTCTTATAAAAATAGTGCCAGCTAAATGTCTCCTTCTAGCCCTTTAAATTAAGATGCTATTAAATGAATATTCTATGATTTGCCTTCTTATCTGAGGTGTTTAGAACAACAATAAAACCAAAATATCTTTTATTTGCCATCTACTAATAATACAGGATTACAGAATCTTAAGAAAATTCCAGTTAGGAAGAGAATGCATGAGACTTCTAGGCCAAAAAAATGTTCTATACAGAGCCAGCTATTAAGTTAGAGCATACACTTCTTGAGTCTTTACCTATTTTGGAAGCCTCCAAAGATGGAGGCAGCACCACCTCTCTGGACAACCTTTATTTTACCACAAAGACAGTCAGGAATTAGAAAGCTTCTCCATATATCAGCACAGAAATGGATTTCAATCTATGCCTGCTGTCCCCCTGCCACACATCNTGTGCCATCTTCTCCATGGCCTCCTTATTGGCAAGAGAAGGCTTCTGTGAGATTTCCCAAAGCCTTCTCTCCTCTAGACCGAGCAAGTCCTCAGTCTCTCCACAAACAGCAAGTGCTCCCACTCCCAATCATCTTGGTAGTCCTTTGCTGAACTTCCTGCAGTTTGTCCTGTATTCCTTATACTGAGACTCCAAAACTGGACCTGGAATCTAGGTGCAGTCTAACATATACAAACTAAAAGGGGATATGCACCTCCCTCACTATGCTAGTTCAGCTCCTTAGAGATTGCAACACAGAAAGTATAAGATATAGTCAGTCTGCTGAAATTGTGTTTATCATTTCCAGTTGAGTAATACTATGTATGATTTAATACATAAATATACTCATCCTTAGAAATAATGTTATTTTCATCACATTTCCATTCTATGTAATATTGTATTTTCAGCAGTTTCATTTTCATGTTCACCTGATTTCCTTTCCTTTAGCATTCACTTCTAAACAACAAGTCTTAACTCACTCGTTGGGTCCTACTCTTTTTTACTATTTACATTTCAGGGATCTGAAATGAAACCTAACTGCTATGTAAGGGGGGAAGCATCATATTTTGCAGAGCTATTGCTTGAAGCTTTTTTTCTTTGACATATTACACTTCAAACTTTTGTGAAATTAACTTGATAAAAAACAGGGTTAGAAGCCAAACTTTGTCATCCATAAATTCAAATGAATAAACAATGCAAACAGGTTTGCTTTGATACTCCAGATTCGGGCCATGGCTATAATTACAAAATCATCTGAAATATCTAAATTCTTTCAAAGAATATTTTTCTGCCCATTTTTCTACACAAACAAGCACGTGACTGCTGTACTTCTTGTCCTCTCTCAGACCCTTATGAACTTTTGAACTTGCTCATTCCAAACAACAGGGAAAAAGGAATAGAAATTTCAAAAAATATTAAATCCTCATTGTTTAGAAAAGTTGGTAGTTAAGTAAAGTAAATTAGAGTTACCTTTAATGAAACACTGCAGGATTATTTCAACAGTTAATCACTCAGTCAACATGGGGAAGAGTGGCAACCAATACATGCATACATCTGTTCTCTCAAGCAAATACAGCACATAGTGTCTCCTGTCCATTCAGAACACTGTAAGTACACAGCTGAGCAGTTTCGGTCACATGGGCCAAGCAGGAGACATTAGAAAAATCAGAGATGTTACAGAGGTAAGGTAGTATAGTAAAGTACAGCTGCTAAGGATATAGGAAAAATGTGAGCTCACTCAGAAGGAAACCAGAAGTGCAGAAGGACACAGGGTCCCACTCAGAAGTAGGAAAGAAATCTGAAGGAAAATTAGCTATGTCAGTCCTACTGTTCACCAAAAAATCTCCGTTTCCTTTGTAGTCAAAATGAGGGGCCTTTACATCCTCAAAACCTTCCCCTTAACTCCACAAACTAAATTGCAAAGAAAGATTTCAGGTACAAGACTGATAATAACATCTATAAATTGAAGAGCATGCCATCCACCTTGCCATACCAGAAACTGCAACATCATTCAAATTAGGAAGGTGAGCAAACCATTCTATTAAATTAATTTCAACATCTATGGAATAACTGCATATACCAGAGGAATGGTTAATAACTACCACAGGTATCTAAAAATGCATCATTATTGCTCAGAAAATAATTGAAGGCTCCAAGATAAAAGGTCCTAAGAAACCTATACTTTAGATTTTTCCATCTTACCTTTCAGCACTGAATGCAGACTCTGTGTCAATGTATATAACTGCCCCATCTAGTCCTCCCATGCTTAGAGGCAGTGTAGCCAGAACACTCAGCATAATACAAAATTGAGTTTTGCCACAACCTGGTGGGCTAGTTATCTGGAAGAAAAAAGATTAGTAACATAACATTCATTTTACATAATTGTACTTTTATCTTTAACCCATCAGACCGTACTCAAATTTTGTTCCTTCAGCTACCACAGGAGGAGACAGACATGAAAAGACAGAATGCAACCCAGAAAGAGTAACTTTGAGTTACTGCTTTGCAGTCAGACTCATCCACTGAAGAATAAACAGCTTTACAGACCCAGCATTATGCTTGCACTTTATTTTTTTTGACATCGTTATTACTTTTCAAATTTGTGGTCCTCTACTCTCTCCCTCACTCACAAGATCTTCCCTAGAGACACCTAGTTCTCTTCCATCCCTGTGCTACCTTCTAAAATAGAGAAGAATTAGACGATTCACAGTTGACATTCACATGTCACCAACGGCCTTTAGAGCTGAAAACAAAGTCCAGAGCTAATGAGCTCACAGATGTAAATGACTGCTTAGGAATCATCATTACTTTGGTTAAACCAGGTCTCCCTTGGAAATCACAAGGATAATTGCTTATATCCTGTAAAGACTGAATGTTCAGTGTGAACCATATATATACAAAGAACAGATTTTATCTGCCCCAGAGACTACACTCTGCTCTGTAGTATGTATTCTTTCATTGGTGTTAACTCCCTATTACCATATTTCAACACCAACACCATTCAATGATCCAGACCAAAGCTTGCCAATTCTAAGCTTTCACCTGTGCTCACTGAAAGCCCCCTGTGGTTAAGGTTCCAGTACGATTTTGATTGAGAGAAAAACCACAGGGATCCAAAGAATACATTGTTTGATGAGATCACCAGTTTCTGAGAACAATATTTTTCTACTAGAGATGGCAGTCTGCTGTTCTTTATCCACTGTAGATTTTGCAGAGATTGTAAATGAATGCTGGGCTCTGTGTTCAGATAATTGTAAGTTCATTACTACTATGGCGAGTCTTTAAATACAATCCCACATTGTAACTGCTTCTGGGAAGGGAGATGATGAAATCTTAAATACTAAGAGGGCTGAAAAACAGCTGAGTGACTTTAGGCACTAGAAACAGAGCGATGGGTTCATTCTGATGCTAGTAGGTAAAAGCAAGCCTCTCCAGGGAAATTAAACTCCAAAATGAAGCATACCTCCTCAAAACACCTATTATTGCCAAAAAGAAACCTTAAAACAGAGAGACACTCAAAATCAAACTGATTTTTGAGACTACACCCACTAGAGTTTGGTTTTAAGCACAGACACCCTTTAACCACTAGGTATTACAATACTGGTATGGTTTTAAGTAGCAGCAGCATGAGTTGAAGCACAGAAAATTTACAGGGCAGGGAAGGACCGAATTAGCTACAGTTAACAGTTGGTTAAAATCCCTTTAATCATCTTTCTCTTTAAACAAGGCCTGAAAGCCAAGCCATATCAGTCAATCTACTCGAAGCTTTGATGCAACAGAAGCTTTAGATGATTTTTTTTTAGAAGCACACATTGCATTTAGAGAATTAGAGATCAGGAATCAGTCGTATTTATGCAATTATCTGTCCTTCAGCCAGTGCACTTAAATTACAGAATATCATATCAACAATGGCTGCTACATTTTAATCTAAACCCAAAGCATATATAAAAAATGCAGAGGCAATACACATTCCTTAGACTGTGATAGCCAAGGAACCTCACCAGGTGTTTCTGGTTAAAAAGAAGACTTGAAATGAATGAGGGGAGGGCATCAATCCAATTGTTAAAATAAAATGTTTAGATAACTGTGAGGACATCCTGTAAAAATGCCTGTAATTTCAGCCTTGCCTGGGAGGTGCACTGGAATCAACGTTTCAGTGGCTGGTGCAGGATCTAATTTAGCAGAGTTGCTATAAAAATGTCTGAGGATATGAGCATCATATCAGAGAAAGAGAAGGAACTTTGCAGGACAAGCTAGTATAAGGAAGCAAGCCAATTGAGCAGGAGAGCATTTCTATTCCCAAAAACAATACTTCATCTTTCATCAGTATTCCTTTAAAGGGCATTAAAACAGACTTTTAAATAATCCACAGTAAACAGTTTTAAACTACATTTTATTGTAGTTACTACAGGTTCAGCAAGTGTTTCTGAACACTACCATCCTAGTAAAAATTCCTCTAATATAATTTAAATTGAATGTCAGCAAAAAGTTTTACTCTGAATTTGCTCAGGAAAAAAAAAAAAATCACCCAAATAGAAATGTGAAGACTACAACAGTTTTTAATTTACCTCTGCCTAATAAAATATACTTTTATTTTTCAATAAGCTATATATTATTTTCTCTGGCACACCTGGAGGGTTTGGATGAAGTCACAAGGAGCTAATTCTTCTTCAGCTACCAGGAGATTAAATTCTTCAATATTCACAAAGTAATTAATTTAATTTTTCCTCATACAAGTTGGCCTAAAGCTCTGACATTTGACCACAGAATTTCAGCTATGATTTAATTTCCTACTTAAAATCTCATAGTGGTTTGGAAAAAAAAAATGGTCTGAGACAGTGTAACACAAATCAAATCCCTCTGGTACTCAAAACACAAGCAGCTTTGGCTGTAGAAGACACCACCACAAGTCTTAATCTTGTGGCTCTTGCACTCAAATTCCAAGTTTCCAGCCACCATTACTTCTGGGTAAACCAACAGGAAGACAATGATTTAGCCACACCAGTCAGGAAGTACATGCTGCACCAGCATACTTTCGAACAGAACTTTCTACATTTAATACCTGAAAAGCAAATAAAAAGCAATACATATTTATTTTTTTTTAGACACCTCTAATCTCGAGTTATTAATCTAATTCCTGGAGTCTACCTAGTTCTCCATATGATATTTCTGACTAAGTAGTTATTATGTATCAGTATTGTCAACCAAGCCCAAGGTACAGGTGAAAGAACGCAGTGCTGGCAGTTCTTCTACAGACATCTCCATCACTGTCCGTCAGCGAGATCCCCCATTGAAGAGAACTGCACCAGGCAGGTCTTCTCACTCTTAACCAAAATATGTTAGAATACAAAAAACATTCAAAAGCTTTTTTTCAGAAGAAAACTTAAAGTGAAACACCTTTCCTGGTGCAGTGCTTTTCATTTACAATTAGATGAAAGTTCAGCCTATCTTTGAATATATTAATTCCCCCCAACCAATTTTAAATACGATGATACATAGAGAGTATGACCATTGTTAAAATAGAGATAAGCAAGTTTCCCAGATTTCCTCATATCTAAAGAGATAAGTATTTTAAGGAAACACTGAGGTGAAAATATTAAAATTGAGTATTGTGAAAAATCGACCAGGCTACAAAGTAGTACGAAATATACAGCACTGCAAAATTAAGCATTTGCATTAACTTCCCGTAGAGCATTATTTTATACCACCTCAGGAAAATTATATTTGACATCCACAGTTTAAGATCAACTGCTTGGTTAGCTTACTTCAAAATAAAATTAACAAAAAGGAAAAAAGAAAAAAACACCAACACAAAACCTAGAAGTCAAAGGTTAGCTAAGCTCCCCTAAAACTCCCAGCATGTCAACCACTGCTTTTCCCAGATCTCCCTCTGAAGCAATGCCAAGAACGTGGCAATCAGCAAGCCTGAATTCTATTATGCTCCAGAGCTATTCTACCTGGTCTTCATGCAAGAATATGTCAGATACACCACACTGATTGCTGAATGATAGCTCCAATTTAGGATTAAAAACAAAGACAAATATTCATCACAGCAGCCTCGTAAAATAGCTGTGTGGCTCTGTGGACCCAAAATCACATCAACTTGGTTTTTAAGCAGAAAAAAATAGTCCATATTCAGTACTCCAAATATTTGGGCACCACTCATGAGCCAGTCAGTCCTATCACAGAAAAGACACATCTCTATTCTACTTTTTTCTCCCACTTGCACAGCAGTGGCCCTGCATTTCAACTAAAGCACAATTCAGACATTTAAGCATGGGAACAGCCATTCTCTGCCTTCAGGAAAAAAAAGGTTAGTAGACCACACGGAAATCCTGGAAATCCACATGCTAGCTGAAAGCGAGCATCATTTCATTTCAAACATGGACTACGCTATTTCATCAGTTCACTGGATGAACAATAACAGATAAGAAAAGATATCAAAGTACACCTAGTGTAGTCACTGCTTTACTGATAAAAATATTTTCAGCAACTAAAAATTCATCTCCTGCTGAAGGCACTACCCTCAATAGCAGTATAGTTACAATGTCAGGACCATGCATACCACACTACTACATACAGGAACAGCTCTTTCTTCTTCAATTAAACCGAATTTAGCGAGCTATTTCTTCCAGAATTTAAAGACTCCCAGTGTTGATCTTAAGTTCTTCTGATCCAAATTTCTTATAGCAAATTGACAACAAAGTTAGGCCTAGATATGAGAGATCAATATAAGTTCTTAATCAGTATGTGTTCTTAAACATTTTTATGACCTGAATGGTGTATATTCCTGTACATCAAAAACAAAAAGAAAGACTCAGAATCTTTAAAAACTAATATCCCCTCAGTACATACGAGTTTACTAGAGCAGAAACTGTTTAGTCTAAACTCAGTGTTGCTTAAACACTAGTATGTTTTAAGTCACTATCTGTTTTCATAAGTCATTTCTACCTGAGATCAAAATCAATCTAGCTTGATTATAAGGTGTGGAAAAAATTTATTTTCTTCACAGTATGGTTTTCATAACTTCTCACTTTTAGTCCTCTACAAAGAAAAGCACTTATTAAGGACTGTTAAAGTGTTCAAGGGAAAAAATTGTTTCAACCTGTCTATATTCAGAGCACGACTCACACAATATATAGGTCTTCTACAGGGCACAGCTCACTTCATAACTTTAAGACAGCAAGTACGGCCACACTGCATTAAAAAAATCCATCTAGCTCTGGATTTGTCTTTAACAAGAACCTACAACAGACAGCTTGGGGAATAACCCAGGAGCAGGGCACACATATAATGATAGTCTCTCCAATATATAAGTTTCTCCAACTCCATTTGCAGGTCAGCAAATTCCTAATGCAATCAGAGATTGCATCTTTGTATTTTTATAATACTCTGTGACTCCTATGAGCATCTACACAAATCCCACCTTTCCGGATTATAGAAACTATGCACATTATCACTTTCCATGAGGCCACAGAGAAATCCAGATACTAGAACAATTTAATTGTAAAAAAAATTTAAAGAAAAAAAAGTAGCATTATCCAAGGTCTAGGGAGTGACAGTTAAATAGATAGAGAGATATGTAATCTGTAGTTCTGCAACTTTCCCACTGTAAAATCCAGCCAACAATTCTCCTGAATTTCCTGTGAAAATTTTCACTTTTTTTAAAGGAAAGTGAAGGAGTGATTTTTGACTTCTAGGTGGAATGCTCAACTGAAGTAACATATATTAAACAAGTTACCTCTGTGAGGGACCCACAAGGTACTCCACCATGCAAGACTCTATCCAAACTATGCAGCGTGGTGGATAAAAAGGCTGAAGAGGGACTGACAGACTTCCTTAGTTTCATTTCATAAGCCTACGGAAGGAGGGAGGAAAAAAACAAAAGAGAACAAACAAATCAGAAAATGCCTTTTTTTAATGGAAATAGGAGACTTGTACTTGCTTTCATCAACCTGGTATGACAACAGTTGCCAATGAGCAAAGTACTCCTATCTTCAACTATAGTCTGCTTAGTTCATCACACTTACATCCCATTTATATCTCACAGAGTAAATTTTAAAGTCTTTTTTATTTCCCTCACCACAATATTAAATAATAAGCCGTTAATAACAAAATGACAGAAGTTTTCTCTGTTGCTATTCAAAAAGGTTTGCTTTTAACCCATAAAAATCCAAATTCTAAATAAGTAAACAGTATATGTATGGTTAGTGACCATTACAAAACCCTCACATGAAATCTAAAAACAAAAACTCCCTCATCAACGTTCATTACCAATTTGAAACTACGTGGGTTGAAGGAAAGTTTTGCTAAAGAGTCCCAAGTCTTTGAATAAGCCTGTGTAGTACTCTAACCATTCATCATTTTCCACTTTGCCAAAAGAAAATCCAGCCACTGCCTTGCAGTTACTGTGTTTCCTTCTTGCACTCCCCCCAGTAGAGTGTCTTACCTGTAGAGTAAGGCACACTACAGCTCATTAGAAAAAATCCTCAAGAAATTATTTTCAGGATCACTTCACTTCTCGGCACCACTTTTATATCTAAAACCAGTTCATACTGAAATTCTTAGTCTTTTTCTGTATTAAACAACTTGTTGGTTTTTTTTAGTTGCAGGATCTAAACTAGAAGCAATTTTTACATGCTGGATTGCAAGAGAGGATAACCTATTTCCCTACTGCACTCAGAACAGATGCTGCAAGCCTGAACAATCTCTTGAGGCTATAGCACCTAATAAATGTAACTGCATCAAACTAAAGTGTGTCAGAGATCTAAATTTCAAACCAAAAATATTACTTCATTGTGCAATAAAACCAAGACGCTCCATGCCTCCTGGCTAAAAAGATGAGTGACAATGTTCAGGTTTTTCCCTGATATTTTATCAAAAACAGTATCAACACAAGTATACTTACTGTCTGCATTTTGGGAGCACAAGCTCGGCTGACTTTACAAAGAAGCTTCTGCACCTCATAGTAGCTCTGTCCCGTCACTTTCATTAGCTCCAAGAGGGAAAGACATAAGAAGTCCTGAAAGATAATAAAGTTCAGAGAGCTCAACCTAGGAATCCAGGCTGGGGACTAAACTGATGCAATCTATATACAACTGGTACCCATTCCACAGGTTTACCAACTCTGCCACGTTATACACTATTATGCTGTATCTCTCCTACCTTTTCCTCATACAGTATACTAAAAGAAGTTGTATTCACATTTTAAAAGACATGGAATAAGAGGACCAACCATTTAAGATCTGTGTGATGGAACTGCAACAAGATAACACCTTTTTGCCCACCTGAAACACATTAAAATCAAATTTAAGTCTTCCAAATTGCAGTGCTAGGCAGAGATTCTGTATATATGATGCATATTGCTGAAATACATAGGGCCTCTTGGCTCATGGACAGCTTCTTGTCCACCAGGGCCCCCTCTCTGCCCTGGTGAGGGGCAGAGCTGTTCTTCTCTGCAGAGCTGCTTCCACAGCTTCCCTACCTCCACAGGGGTAGTAAGTCCATAAAAGTTTAAATGTTTTAGTTAGGCATCTATCATTTTAAAGCTCTATTTTTACAAAGCAGCAGGCCAGATGCTGTCTGAAATGCCCCCTACTTCACAGAAAGTAAAGCTTCCTGTTTAATTACAAAAAAGTGAACACCACATGCATTAAAACAACACAAACACACACAAAAAACCCACCACTAACATAAAAACCAACCACAAAAAAACATACCCTGTAAACAAAACAACATTTTCACCTGACAGGTAGTGATCTGACAGCGACTCAGCCTCTCACACAGCTCCTGAGACAACAGTGCTCTTCTTAGTTTCTTAGCAGCCATGCTCCTCAACCTGCATAGCAAACAAAAAAAAAAAAATTTTTGAAAGATGATTTGAATATGACTGTGCAATTTCACTCACTCTTTGCTAAAGAACAGGAAAGTGTGCACACGTGTGCATATATAGAGGTATATATAAATGATACAATGTGATACAGATTTCCCCCCGTAAGTCTGCATCACATTACGTTATATTATCACTCTGAAAGCACTTTTGTTGAATTACTTCTCCTCATATTTGACCACGTATGAGATCATGCCAATCAGAATGGAAGAGTCAGCACTGTTTATAGGGCAGGTGTTTCTGGGATGTAAGAAAGCTGGAAATTACTCAGTCGTGAGCTGAATAAGAACTCCTCATGCTATACTGCACTGGAAAGAAATGAGTTATTTTTGGATGCCTGAACATGAATTGTAGAGCAACCACAGTAAGCATTCAGCCCTAGAACATATACTGCTAGAACACACACTCGGTTCTGGTGACCCAGGATTCGTGACAGGTGTTAAAAGAACAAAAAGCCTGAAGGGCTGGAAAGATACTTTAGCATGCAAGAGTCAAGATGATCAGTCAAACCCATCTCGTAATGTTCTATGTACACCTTACAAACCAAACACACTCAATAAAGAATTCTTTAATTTAGCCAACAATGTAAAAGAAACCAGAGATCAAAGCTGAGCATATGAAGAAGATAACTACAACATTATTTATTCAAAAAATGAACAAAAATACCACTGCACCAAGACAGCAACAATTGTAGTATACTGTGACTGAGACCTAAGCAAATTGCATTTTTGAGATTCCTGATTAAAGAGTATCTGATTATCTCAGATAAACCTTAAGACTATTTTACGTAGCAGGTAAGACTATTCTGCAGCTATGGATCCTTTTCCCCCTCAGTTATGTACATTTGTCCTCTTTTTTTTTGTCATTCCACTCTACTGAACAAAACCCCACGGGATGGTGTTTGGCTCAGTACAACCCAAACACACATATACGTGGTTCTGAGCACATCGCTGTTTCACACATACTCTTTAGGCAACATTCCTAGTATTAATACAATTAATACACACATTTAGGCAAGACGAAAGGTTTCATAATGCAGTAAGTGCAAAAATTGTAAATATTTGCCATGATGCAAAACTATTACAGCTTCGCAGACGCACAGGCCTCCACATCTTCACAAGAAGGAAACTTCGTTGCCCCGTCTACAGAAAATGCTCCTTAAACAGGAGGAAACCCAACCGTCTGACGCACACTGGCCGCCCAGCCCAGCGGGCTCCGGCGCCCGCCCGCCCCATCGGCCGGGGTCCCGGGATGCGCCTACAACCGGAAACCCAGCCCAACCCTCTCTCGCCCCGGGTAGCACCGCGGGCACCAGAAAACCCGCTCCCGCCGCAAACCAGCTTCACCCCCGCGACTCGGGGGCGTCCCGCCGGGCCCCGCCGAGCCGTAACAAACCCACCCGCCCGCCCTCCCGGGGCGCAGCGCGGACCCCGCGCACCTGAGAACTTTTTCAAAGCTTCCCCGCGGCGGGCGCGAGGAGGCGGGACCGTCGGGCCAGACCCATGCTCCCAATTGGCTGAGCTCCCGCCAATCCCCGCGCAGCGCTGGCGGCAGGCGGCGCGCGGGGCATGCCGGAAGAGGTAGTTTCGGGGGGGAGCGAAGGGGGGAGTCTGGGTCTGTGATGGCGGCGGCTCTGGCCGGGCAGCGCCCTACTGAACCCGCTCCTCTGGGGGGGAAGGAGAGGCTCAAGGGGTGTTCACTGTTCATTCTGCTCGTGAAACTGAGCGCCTCCCCCGAGGCAGGAGCCTTGCACGGCGCTTCCGTGCTGTACCCTAGATATTCCTGCCGTTCTCCACATAGAAAGCGTCAATAAACCCCAAAAGTCACCAGCATGGAGAATGCCACGCGTGCGTTCAGGTGCTAGCAAAGAATATTGGATTGGTGGTTCTCGTCTTCAAACTGAGGGCTTACAGACACCTGGTGAGCTACCCGCTGTGGGAGAAATGCCTTTGGCGCTGAGGAAACTATTGCCCTGTAGCGTGAATCAGAATCGATTAGGTAGGAAAAGACCTCTTGAGATCATCGAGTGCAACCTGTGACTGAACACCACCATGTCAACTAGACCATGGCACTAAGTGCCACATCAAGTCTTTCCTTAAACACCTCCAGGGATGGTGACTCCACCACCTCCCTGGACAGCCCATTCCAATATCTAATCACCCTTTCAGTGAAGAAATTCTTCCTGATGTCCAGCCTAAACCTCCCCTGCTTGAGGCTGTCTTCCCCTGTCACTAGTTGCCTGGGAGAAGAGACCAGCCCCCATCTAGCTACAACCTGCTTTCAGGTATTTGTAGAGATCAATAAGGTCTCCCCTGACTCTCCTTTTTTCCAGGCTGAACAACCCCAGGTCCCTCAACCGCTCCTCATATAATTGACTCTCTAGACCCTTTACCAGCTTCATTACCCTTCTCTGGGCTTGCTCCAGCACCTCAATGTCCTTCCTGAATTGAGGGGCCCAGAACTGGACACAGTACTCAAGGTGGGGCATCGCCAGTGCCAAGTAGAAGGAAAGAATCATTTCCCTAGTCCTGCTGGCCACACTATTTGTGATACAGGGAATGTCTGAGTGTAACAGGTAGAAGCAGTCATAAAACATGACTGACGTGAATGGCTATGGGGTGAGTCCAATTCAACACTAGAAAGTACTGAACTTAGTACTGTGTGCATATGTTATCTGCATAATCTTTACACTTCTACAAATTAAACTTAATTGAAGAAAAAAAATGGGCCAATGTTGTCTTGGACATCTACTGAGAAACTGCGCATTGGGAACTGCATGGCCCAGGTTTTGTCTGTTCTGAAAAAGAAATGCCACAGCAAAGCTGCAAAATACAGAACATTTCAACCACTTTTCTAAACGAGTGATAAGGAGAAACAGGAAGAAGCTATCATGAAATGCCCAAAAACTGTAGTGTCAAAAAGGGTCAGTGCAATCAGTGTTTCTTTCATACCCTGAAGGGGGCTTATATACCCAAAAGAAATCCAGAGGATATAAGAAGCTAGACAGATATAAGAAGCAGCCCACACAAAAGCAACTCAGAGCTTTAGTGAATAGGTAGCTGAACAGGGAGAGATGGCATAGAGGAAGAGCTCCTCCTAGTGTAGTTGACCTTTAAAAGTTGACTTGAAAAATGTAAGTCACAAATGAGAAAAGCTGTCTAAGGAAAGAGAAAGGATGTCTGTTGCTGCAGTTTAGTTTCCGTGTAAACAGGAGGACATGACCATGGTATAACTCGTCATAGACTACTCATGGAATATTTCCTCCTCAATACAGGAGTAGCAGGAGCCTGACCTTCTCACCTGAGGTGCAAGAAAAAGGATTGCCTTGATGACTTTTTTTCCTCCCACAAATGCATTGGGGCTTGCCATTCAGCTCCAGGTCAACAGGCTTCCTTTCCACTTTCTACAAAAACAGAATACCTGTATTAAACCAGAGAACTGTTCTGGGATGTTGAGCAAGGGAAGCAAATCTTAGCAGCCAAGTAGTTAAAAAAATTCATGAGCAAAATCAATATACCGTGGTAGCTCTCCTGCAAGTGCTTTGAATCTCATTTCTCGCTGGTGTCATGGCTGTTCAACTCTCTGCTTCTCAGATCTGCAGATACACCTTTAAACCTACTGGCAAGTAATTGTGCACCGTCTTCTCTGTGGAAATTGAGAGAAATAATATTCAGAGGATAATCAGAGACGTGTTCACATACACAGCAACACAGCAGGCAGCTCCACAGCTTCGATATATTTGACTAGGATAGTAGTTGCTAGGGAATCAGGGCCCTCTGCAAACAGCTCTGCTGTGTGACCTTGGTCAAGCTCCTTCACGATAGGGTATCTGTTTTCCTTCTCAGTTTTGCTTTTACCTATTTAGTCTGCAAACAGAGTAAGTAATGCCAACCCAATAGACTTAAGTGTCAGGCATGATACAGCAGAGAACTGCTCTAGTCTAAGCCTTTTGCTGCTTCTGGAACTTATAATAAGAAGGGATTAAAAAGCTAAGATATGATTACTTTATAAGAACTGAGCTTCACCACATTAATTTAAGAAGGTCATTTAAACTGGCAACACTGGAGAAAGACACACAGAAAGGCGAAGCATAACAGCACCAGCAAGCTAAGTCTCATAGAAACAGAGTGATCTAAAATCAAGCACACCAATTAAAATAAAAAAGGGAATGGTGATTAGCTTTCTAAGGGGCAAGCAAAGAGAGACAGAGTCTGATTTGAAGGGCACATGATGAAATACTTATCAGTTCTTACCCAAATAAATACTCAGCAGTTAGGAATTCTGCAAGTCTAGAATTGAAAAGATAATGGCAAGATTTTTGCTTTCTGGAACAGAATCCACGGAAAAGTTTCTTCCTCAAACCCAAAACAGCCTTTTGTGGGCATTTTCAGATAATAGTTTGCATTCTGGAACATTTCAGGTGATTCATATAATTACTAACACAGTATCAGCTCACTGATACTGACTACAATCCTCAGGTTTATTACTATTTTCCAGCTATCAATTCTTGCCTTAAAATTAGCAATGTTCCCCTACCCCTGTGAAAGTGTCACCCCAAAAGAGTTTACTTTAAGAGAATATAGCTGAGAATATAACAAGTTTACTTTAAGAGAATATAGCTGAGAATATAACAATTTTGACTCACAAGGGTAATCCAGATATTCAGAGCAATTCCCCACCTTATGCTTGCTGACTAGTGTCTAATTAGTCTAATATATTCTTTTTCCTTGGGGTTATCTACTTGATGCCTACTACATCCTTTAATAGAAAAAAAAATTACTCATAAACTCCTGAGATTGGAAAACAGTTATAGATCAGTCCCTGCTTTCCTGGGATTAAGGTCCCAAGAGGTTGCTCAATAACAATACACAAAGGAACTTCCAATGAAGTATACTCTCCATTGCTGTCTCCCCAAAGGAGTTGGAGATTTACTTCCAATCCTTTGAGGTTCCCCCATCTCAAAAAAAGAAATTCAAAGGATGTCATAAGGAGGCCTGCACCCTGGTTAAAAATGGTTTATATTCCATGCCATCCATACGAGCACAGCTTTAGCAAAGCTCCTTCAACTTGAGATTTTGCCAGCCACATCTGTTCCAGGGGTGAGATGGAGGGAAAGGAAACCATCTTTCTGTTGTTTCTACAAGCTGTTCAGCAGAACCTTGCTGTAATCATCAGCTATAATAAACAAATCAAGAACAGACCTGTGAAAAAGTAGACCATCTTTTTATTCTTATTCTCCCCCTCCCCAAGTCCTCTGAACAGTCGATGGACCAGATAAATGCTTCTCCCTAGAAAATTAATCTTTTTCCCCCTGCTCAGGAGGAAAACCCAATTATAATGAATCCTTTCAGGTATTAGTGAAGACCTGTCTCACCACACACCTTTACACCCAGAAAAAAATATTTTTTTTCTCAGGACAGGTAGAAGACATTTCTCTGTTTTCTGCCTCTTCACGCATCCTCCTCTGAATCCAGAATTATTCATCACCCCCAAAACTATTTCAGAAATATTCAGCATCAATGTAGAATTTTTTTGAAAGGGAGCGTCTGTACCTCCTACCCTTTTTACAGAAAAGCAGACTAGCCACATTCACTGCTATTGCAGGCAGAAGGGCAGACCCACCTGCGCACTATAGCTTTGAAAAATTCAGCTGCATTTGCTTTCAGCCCAAACTACTACAAATGAAATGAGAGACTTCAGGGATTATTCCACTTTTAGCCTGTACTCATCTAAGAAGATTACCTTCCAAGATCAGCTTCCTACTTCATTTAGCTTTTTCTTGTTAGAGCAACAGCAGGAGTCATTCAAGTCTTTGGGCTTTTTATATTTCCCATTAAGTTTCTGTTAGATGAGAAACCCATGAACTGGTACAGCAGCAACCTAATAATCTATGTGGAGTTGTTTTTACCACTGTTTCAACGGTGCCTTACCCTTTTTTGCTGCCTTGTCTTGAGTTTCCATTTACTGAGGTTTCTGCAGTTGTCCCAGTAGTGCTCTCTGCAGTCACCAGGCCCTGCCACTCTTGGCACAGAATTTCCTGCAGCTTTCCCTGTGATGCTGAGATGGACCAAACCGCAACAAATACCATAGCAGCAGGCCTTTAGGAGCATTGCACAAAGCAGGTAATATCTGACTGAGGTAATCCTTAGGTTCCCCACTGCAGCTTTTTGTTTCTGAAGCATGGAAAAACTGCAACACACCCTATTACTCAGAAACTGGAGCTATGTTTAGACTTTTGTCCTGTGAAGCAGATCTGTTTCACTGTGACCAGCTATGGAAGCAAACAGTAGCTCAGTGATTCCCCTTTGATCAGACCATGTCCTCTCTGAGGACATGCGCATCCAACATGTCATCCTGTGATCCTTTACAGCAGCCAGCCTCTACTGAGAAGCTGCAACCAGACTAGAAAAATCCAGTGACCAGTAGTGAAAGTCCACTGTGTACCCCTTGTCATCACATTCTGAGTCAAACACCATGAAACTAGCACTGACAGT